GGATTGGCATAGCATCGGCCGTTGCGCTCACTTGGGGAGTGAATCATCGGACAGAAGATCTTCCTCTCTGTCTCTCCTCTCTGTATATCCGCCTTTCCAATAAAAAAATAATAAAAATAAATCTTTAAAAAAAAAAGGAACAGGCTTCTCAGACCAAAATGTGCCTAGACCTGGACAAGTAAGCAAACGACCTCCCTAGATGCAGACCACGAAAGAAACAAAGTGTTGAAACTGTGCACGGAGTAGTTAATCATTCCCCATTAAGTATATTTGTAGAAAAAAAAAAAATGAAAGCAGATTAATCTCAAATAGACTCATATGCAATGGGGGAGGTAATGAACTAAGATAAACCAACAAATGCAGCTGTCAGGCCACGGTCTAAAGAGGGAACCCCAATTCACTGCTTCAGCTAACCGCACCTAACACACTTCAACGCATAATCCAACACGGATTATACCAACTACCCGAAATGATGGCTGAGCCTTCCTGACTCCAAAGACAGCCATTTCAAATGCCTTCACTATGTAAGGCACGGCTCAAGAACAGGAAAATCGGAAAAGATGATGGAAATCCCATTAAGCCCATCCTCAATAATCAATTAACTTTTTAATCCTCTGACATGGGCAATCACAGAAGGTGGCCACGACGCCCGTCTTGCTCATTGTATTCCGCCCTTGAACACCAGCACCGGCCAAGGACTTTGGAATTCAGGGTGCACCATTGCCCCATCCGTTCCTATGCAGAAACCCCTCAGTGCATCGCACACAGCGTGGGAATGAGGGAGAATTACCACGGTGCCAAACTTGGGGGAAAACACACACACACCGTATGGAGAACACACACTTTAGGCTTTCCATTTCCCAAGTGTCGTGACTGCTGAGTTGTACCCAGGCTGGCCCAGCCCTAACAGCTGGCGCCGCGGCCGCACCCAGAGAACTTCGTCCCCATAACCTGCCCCAATTCACGACCCTGAGGTCGGGGTCACACCCCGCGCTGGACGCCACCCCGGCCAGGACCCCGAAAGTCGACCTCCTCCAACACCAAGTGGCAAAAGCCGACGACAAATCAGGCCAAAGTGACGCGGCAAGCGCTCCCGGGAAGGGCCCGTCCGCCGCGGCTGGCAGGGACGAAAGAACAGCAGCGACCCCGGGCTGCGCCACAAGCGGCCGGGAACGCGACCCCGCGCGGAGGGAGCGCGGCCCCTTCCCAGGACCCGGCCCGGTTCTGTCCCCGGAGCCTGGGCCGCGCCCGCCCCCGGTTCGGTTCCCGCAGCCGGACTTGGCCGGTGGCCCTGGCCCTGGCGGCCCCGCGGGGCGGCCGGGAGGCCTCGGGAGCGGCCGCCGTTGACCGTTCCCCTCGCGGGCCCGCACACCTCCTCACCTGGACTTGCCGACGCCACTCTCGCCGATGATGAGGATCTTGAGGGTGGTCAGCACGTCCTCGTCCATCCTGACCCAGTCCGAGCCCCGCCGGCCGCCCTGTCCGCCTCTCACTTCACCCGGGAGCGCCGCTCGCGCATGCGCACTGCCCCGCGGCCGCCACCTTCCTCCCACCGGGTGTTTGGGTTGCTCAAGCCGGGGACGCCCTAGTTCCGCCTTCAGGGAGCACTGCGCCTGCGCACAACCCGAGCCCGCCGCGTCCTTCCGGGTGGCGGGCCCCGCCCTTGCGCAAGCGCAGTGCGCTCTTCGCCGCCTCCCCAACCCTGAGCTGACCCTCCCCTCTCTTGGGTAACTGGAAGTGGATGGAGACTCCAAAGAAGACAGCTACGATATGTCAGCACCTGCTTAGAACCAGAGTCTCGTACCTGAAGCCGGACGTCCAGCCGACTCCCCTCGGAGCCTGGGTCTCTCACAGAGCTGTAGACTGCTTGGAATTTTTATGATGAAAGGAGCTAAATGGCATGCGCTATTAAGGGCCTGAACAGGTGATGTTAGCTTCCCTGTAGCATTTCTTGCAAGGGAATTGTAGACATAGCAGATGTATTGTAGCTCGCTCCACCCCAAGACCTGTTGCACCGTTACAAAAATTGCATTTGTGGTATATTTACCAAGACAAGCTAGGACACCTCCTCTGCTGTGAGGCAGTAGATGAGCTAGTGGGGCAGTTAGCCCGGGCGCCTGTTGGAATGAGACAAGCCGAAGTCCTTCTAGGAGAATACAAGTGCGATTTCACCCTTCTTTTTTTTTTTTTCCTGCAGATTTATTAATTATTAATTGAAAGGCTGAGAGAATGAGAAAAAGAAAGATCTTCTATCTGTTGGTTCACTCCCCAACTGGCCGCAACAGCTGAGCTGAGCTGATCTGAAGCCAGGAGCAAGGAGATAGGAACCAGGAGCCCCTTCCAAGTGTCTCATGCAGGTGCAGAATCCCAGGGTTTTGGGCCATCCTCCACTGCTTTCCCAGGCCACGAGCAGGGAGCTGGAAGGAAAAATGAAGCAGTTGGGACAGGAACCAGTGCCCATATGGGATGCAGGGCTTGGAGTTGGAGGATTAGCCAGTAGAGCCCCAATCCCAGCCTTGTTGTGGTGCTAGGTTTAGGAGTGTAGAAAGAAGTTCCCCGTCACACTCTTGTATTGGCTCTTTGTTTTAGCCTGAGCAGCTTGATAGGATGACGTTTCCGGCCTTTGGTCTTCCCCACCCCCACCCCTCTGGTTGTTCCCATCATTCTGCTCACCAGCAACTAACTTCTTGGGTTTTCCTGCCCTGTGTCTCCTCTCCTGACCGACAAATACATCTAGCTTTTCTTGCTGCCTTGTCCAAGAGGAAATTCTATGTGAGACAAGAGCTGGGGTCACCTTTTCTTCATAGCCTTCCTACCTGTAATAATGGAATACTTTGGAAACTGCCTGGCATGTGTCAAGCACTCGGAAAGCTTTTGTTACCTCGTCTAACCTCCTGACTCTTCCAGCTAATGTCATATATAATAGATGTGATCATGTATAATAGATGTAATCATGGCTATGCTATAGTAATGATATAGAGGAATTCTGGGGAGGGGAGGGACTTGGGGATAGGGCAGGGGAAATAAGCAATAAACAAATAAATAAGAAAATACACCAGATGGCCAAGAGCCACAGCAACTAGAAAAAAAATTAAAAAAAAAAAAAGAGAGAGAGAGGATCAGGATATTTTTGTTCATTATTATATCCTGAGTGTTGAAAATACCTCTTGGCACTTAATATGTGTTCAATATGTGTTGAATGAATATTCTTATGTACAGTGCTTGGGCCCCTGTACCCACGTGAGTAACCCAGAAGAAACCCCTTGCTCCTGGCTTCAGTCTAGCCAGGTCTTCCATGTGCGGGACAGGAGCCCATGTACCTGAGTCTTACCTGTTTTTTTGCGGGGTGCATACAGGAACAGCAGGAAACTAGAATCAGCAGCAGAGCTCCAGTGTGAACCCAAGTCCTCCAATACGGGATGCTAGTATCCCAGGTAGTGCCTTAATCACTAGACTAAAAGCTAGTTACAGTCTATAAGAAATCATAGGACTTGGGCCTGGCGTGATAGCGTAGTGGTTAAAGTCCTCACCTTGAACGCACCAGGATCCCATATGGTTGCCGGTTCTAATCCCGGCAGCTCCACTTCCCATCCAGCTCCCTGCTTTTGACCTGGGAAAGCAGTCAAGGACAACCCAAGCTTTGGGACCCTGCACCTGTGTGGGAGACTTGGAAGCTCCTGGCTTCGGATTGGCTCAACACCAACCATTGCAAAAGCTTGGGGAGTGAATCATTGGACGGAAGATCTTCCTCTCTGTCTCTCTCCTCTCTGTACATGTGTCTTTCCAATAAAAAAAAAAAGAAGAAATCATAGGACTCAAAATGCTTGAGAACTGCTATACTGTATCAGTCATGCCAAGATGAAAACAGAAACAAAAACCTCCTCATCATTCTTGCAACATATCTGAGAGTTGGGCAATGCCAGATTCTCTTGAACATCTGCCCATCACATCTTTGCCAGTTTTTTTTTTTTTTTTGGTGCAGTATTCTTGCTTACCCTTCAAACATTTCTCTTCAGGCTTAAGCCTGATTCTCCGACTACATTCACTGGGCCCTGGCTGTCCTCTTGCACTCACATGCCTTCATCCTCCCTTACGTGGTCACATCCCAGACTTGAATGTCTCTAGCCGAGTTTCCTCTCCTGAATCACAGGTCAATATCCACAACTTCCAAGACTTTTTGCGGTGGGCATACCCAAGTGGACTGTGCCAGGCTAAACATCACTGGTGCTGAATTCATTCTCTTCCCCCCACACTCTACTTTTTTCTCCTGATTTCCTTCCTATCAAATGGTAATAACGCTCATGTAGTTTGCGTTCGCTCACTCCCCACATCTCTTTCATCTCTTTCATTCTCATTGCCTATACTTTGCTCAACTCTATAGTGCTACTCTGTCATCATCACCCTGTCAGCTGCCCAACTGGCCTTCCTGTCCCCACCCTTCTCTCATACTGTTTTTGCTTCCACAGCCAAAGTGATGTTCCTAAATCATGATTCTGACTCATCCTGTCTTCCAGGCATCTCCCTGTCTGCAATGGTACACGCAGGTGCTTTGGTAGTCTAGGAGCGGCTTATTTCATTGTTTCGTTGTTTGGGTAGGGACTGTAGACTTGGGACGCAAGTAAAGTTCACGAAGCAGGTGGGGAGAGGTGTTTCAATCTTAGGAAGAGGTGAAGTGGCCATTTGCGATTTAAATACCACTGTCTCAGGGCCCATGGATTTCGTAACTCAGTGGAGAAGATGGTCATTGCACTTTTATTCTCCATTTGACTTTGACACTCCTTTCAAGGAGTTCATCTTATAGCAAAAGAAGCATGGCAGCAGACTCATGCATGCTCTTGAACGTCACTGGTGTCATCACACCTCCAGCCCTGGGAACCGCTAGTCTGATAGATTGGGAAATGGCCCAATTTAGGCTAAGTTTTAAGGTGCCAGTAGTGCCTTAATGGTCTTTGAGGTTGGGTGGTTGATGTACATCATGTATTAAAAACTTAAGAAATGCATTTTTTTTTTTACAAAAGTTTATTTGTAAATGTACAACGGGCTCCAAGGTGACACTACATTCTAACTATGGGCGGCTAAAGATGCTCCGGCCGAGACGCCAGATGTTCAGACATGTGTGGGGTTGAGGGCAGCATCACTTCAGGTGCCAAGGAGCAGCTTACTTTTTGCCAGATTTCTTAATTCCACCTGTGGCCAGGGGGCCCTTCCCCGCGGCCTTCGCTTTCAGCTCCTCCAGTTTCTTCTGTTCTTTCTGTTTCTGCTTGAAAGCCTTATCCTCCTCATCCATCTCCTTGGCCTGCTTCTTGGGTTGTTTCAGGGGCTTCTTTTTGCCACCTTCCTGGCCGGACATGGCACCTGTCACTGCTTCCCCAGACCAAGACCTGCATTCTTAAAAATGATGCTACTTTCCCAATAGAACTCATTTGATCTCCCAGGTTTGTATTACATTTTTCTCCTGTACTTTGCTGATTATTTCCTGCCTCTGCCTCTCTAGATCCTACCTGAGAAACACTTCTGGGGCCAGCACTGTGGCACATCAACTTAGTCCTCCAACCCACAGTCCTGCATCCCACATGGATACCATTTGGAGACCTGGACGCTCCACCTCCAATCCAACTCCTTGCTAGTATACTTGGGAAGGCATCAAAGGATGGCCCAGATTCTTGGGCCCCTGAACCCATGTGGGATACCCAAAAGAAGCTCTGGCCTGGCCCAGCCTTGGCCATTGAAACCATTTAGTGACTGAATCAGCATATAGGAAGTCTTCCTTCCTCCCTTCTACCCCCTCCCTCCTTTTCTCTTTATAACTCCAATTTTCAAACAAATATGTAAAACCTTTAAAAAAAAAAAAAAAGAATGCGTTCCTCATGAAGTCAATCTCTGGGTCCCTTCTTATTGGTTGCCTGAGTCTGACCACATTGTTATGATGGTCCCTTGATTATAGTCTCTAGAGGCACTTGAGCTGGGACCCTGACAACACAGCCATTGTCTCCAATGTCCATCAGTGAACCAAGCACCTAAAGCTCGGGTCCTGGGATACTCAAGAGAGCATTCCTAATGTAGGTACTAGTGTCTTCACAAAGAGTGTCACCCAACGTGATGATGCTGCTTTAAGAGGCTTTGTGGGCAGCGGACATCAATCCAGGAGAGGGAAGAGATGACAGAGACCACATGATACAAAGCTGGGACCTACATAAATACAGTCAGCTGGTCTTTGACCAAAGGGCAAAGGCAAGACCATGGAGGAAAAACAATCTTTTTAATAAAGAGTACAGTGTACTCACATAAATGAACAAATAATAAAATAAACTATATAGATACAGACTGAATACCCTTTGCAAAAATGAATGCTAAATGGAAAATAGAACACTGTAGAAGCCTTAGAAGATAATGCAGGAAAAAAATCTAGATGATCTGGACTGAAACATTGAGTTTTCAGATACAACATCAAAGGAACAATCCACAGAAGAAATTATTTCTAACCTGGACATCCCTGGAAAGAAAGAGGGAAGGAAGGAAGGAAGGAAGGGCTATGCAAAAGACAATTTCAGGAGAAAACTGGAAGTCAAGGCACAGACTTGGAGGAAAGTATTTGTGAAAGACATTTGTGACAAATGACTTATCCAACACACACAAAGAATCCTTACACTCAGCAGTAAGAAAAGTAACTACCCAACTGAAAAGCACAGGCAAAAGGCCTTAACAGGTACCTGACCAAAGAAGTCAGACAGATGACAGATAAACATGTGAGAGGATGCTTGACATCATGTGTCATCAGAGCAACGCAAATTAAAACATCAATGACATGCCCATTAGATTGGCCTGAGTCAGCATACTGACAGCACCATGTGGCGGGGAAGCTGTGGAGCCACCTGAGCTCTCGTTGTTGCCGGGAATGCAAAATGACGCAGCCAATCTGGAAGTCAGCGTGAAGATTGCTCTACAAAACTAAATGTGCACTGGAAGAGCAGAGTGCATCAGTGGGCAAGAGAGCTATTATTCCCAGGCCAGGGATACCTGGGTTTGTGACTAAGCTTGTAACACCACGCAACAGACCGGAACCCCAGCGCTATTTCTCCTTTATGCCTAAAAATAACCGAAGTATTACTGGCCTCAATGCTGTCTTTTCTTCTTGCTTTCTATGAGTTGTAAATAACTAATCAGAACATACCAAGACTCTGTTAATGTCATCTCCCTTTTTTCGGTTTTAGTTAACATAAGAAAAACTGTTCTAAGAACAGCTAGCTGCACTTACGATTAAAGGAAGCTTTGTATGACACCCATGTTCCTTGGGGGTATAAAATCTGCGTATTCTTAAATATATAGTCTGTCATCCCTGAAGTGAGCATAACGGCCACAGCGTGGATTAATAACATCATTTCTCCATTCAGCATCTTGTTGTCTGTTCGATCAGTCACGACACTACACACACTCTTACCGTGTGATCCAGGAAGAAGACTTCTTGATATTTATCTAAATGAGTTCGGAATTTATATCCGTATAAAAACCTGTTCATAGACATGTATGGCAGCTTTATTTATAGCTACTGAGACTTGGAAAAAAACAAGATGTCCTTCAGTAGGCCAATGGGTTAGCTGTAATACAGCGCAAGAGTAAAGTAAGATTCAGCACTGAGAAGACATTGGCAAGCCCTGGAGAAAGTTTAAATGAATATGACAGAGTGAAAGCAGCCAATTGGAAAGACCAGCATGCCACCTGAGCCCAACCGTATCACATTCTGGGAAAGGTACTACTGCGAGGGTAGAACACAGATCAAGAGTTAGTGGTGGTAGGGCCCGGTGCAGTAGCCTAGCAATTAAGTCTTCGTCTGGCACACACTGGGATCCCATATGGGCACTGGTTCATATTCCGGCCCCACTTCCCATCCAGCACCCTGCTTGTGGCTTGGGAAAATAGTCAAGGATGGCCAAAAGCCTTGAGACCCTGTAACCACATGTGACCCAGAAAAGGCTCCTGGCTCCTGACTTCAGTTGGGCACAGCTCCTGCCACTGCAGCCACTTGGGGAGTGACTCATTGGTTGGAAGATCTTCCTCTCTGTCTCCTCCTCTCTGAATATCTGACTTTCAAATAGAAATAAATACATCTATTAAAAGGAGTTAGTGGTGGGCCCAGCATGGTAGCCTAGTGGCTAACATCCTCGCCTTGCACACACTGGGATCCCAAACATCCACTGGTTCTAATCCCGGTGGCCCTACTTCCCATCCAGCTCCCTGCTTGTGGTCTGGAAAAGCAGTCAAGGATGGCCCAAAGCCTTGGCACCCTGCACTCATGCAGGTGACCCGGAAGGAGCTACTGGCTGTTGGCTTTGGGTTGGCGCAGCTCCGGCCTTTGCAGTCACTTAGGGAGTGAATCATTGGGCAGAAGATCTTCCTCTCTGTCTGTCCTCCTCTCTGTATTTTTGATTTTCCAATTAAAAAAAAAAAGAATTAGTGGTGGGAGCAAGGGAAGGAGAGGTAATACACAGGGCACCATGGTTTTTGGAGCAAATCAAGTTATTTTTAAAAAGGGGAGGTGGAGTTCCAGCGGGAAAAAAATCAGAGGCCGAGAGGAAAGGAGAAGTCCTTCAGCCACTGGTTTCCTCCTCAAATGGCCTGAGCTGTGCCAAGTTGAAGCCTGGAACTCTTTTTCTGAGACTCCCACACTGGTGCCGCAAGGGACCAAGTATTCACGCCATCTTTTTCAGCTTTCCCAGGTGCATGAGCAGAGAGCTGGATGGGAATTGGAGCAGCATGAACTTGAACTGGCACCCAGATGGAATACCAGCTCTACAGAGGGTAGCCCTACAAGCTATATCATGGTGCTGACCCTGAAAAATTACTTTGAATGATACTATCAAGGTAGGTACATGTTATATACATTTATCTGAGTCCACCATATTTACCACCCCAGGAATGAACCTAGGTAAATAAACCAAGGACGTTGTGTGATATTGATGGTCTAGATAGAGCCAGCTATTGCTACCATAACTTAGTCCAGTGTAGTGGGGGAATAATGAAAGCCTCTATGGAGCTGCAGGTGGAGGGAATGGCAGAGATACAGGAACTACAGGTCCTTCCCTTTGGCTATGAATCTAAAATTGTTCTAAGAAAACAGTGTATTTTTTTTTTTAATGGTCAGCAAAAAGCTCCATTGAGGACTCCAGGAAATAAGGGTGATGGGGACGATAAGGCAAAGAGTACAGTTCTGCTAAGTAGCCAAAGGGCATGGAAAGCCTCCATCTGCATCTGTCTGCATTGTCTGAGATGTGCTTTATTGCAAGGCCAGGGAGGCACGTGACATAGCAGTGACATCACCAGCTCACCTGCATCTCAGTAAGCACACAGCTCCGTGGATTAGAGAGCATTTATTCCCACAGAGTTGCATGCTTCAGAATGTGCCATTGTATGTGGTTTTTCAGGTCAGATTTTTTTCCTTTTCTAAAAATGACAGTGAGTTATTTGTATTTTTGTCTTGTTTTCATTTTCCCATGGTTTAGTATGTGAAATATTTTAAAAGTTGTTTTGCAGGAATATGAACAGGCAAAGTTCACACATTTTGCTTGTTCAAAATTGAATGTAGGGGCCAGTGTTGTGGTGTTTGATGCTAAACTACCTGGTGTCACCAGCATCTCATGTGGGCACCAGTTCAGCAGCAGTTCAAGTCCCAGCTTTGCCACTTCTGATCCAGCTTCCTGCTAGTGTGCCAGGGAAAGCAGTAAAAGATGTCCCAAATGCTTGGGCCCCTGCCGCCCACGGGGGAAGTCCAGATGCTATTTCAGATTCCTGGCTTTGGCCCCGCCTAGCCCAGCAATTGTGACCTTATGGGGAATAAACCAATTGGTAGAAGATTTCTTCTTTCTCTGTCTCTCCATTACTCTGTAAGTCTGCTTTCAAGTAAATAAATATTTTTGGAAAATAATATCGAATTCTGAATAGAATCCAAACTGTAACTTTAGTCATATCTGTACATTGAATATATTCAATATTATAATAGGAATTCAGTGCTCCGAACTTCTCCACAGGCTTGCTGTGGGGCCTGGGAAAAAAGACATAAACATATAAAGTACGGTGTATAACATTACAGAACATGAAATGGTCAGTGTGTTGCCCCTGAAGAACAATGAATAAGATTTATATATTATATATATAATATATATATATTATGGAAAAATGGCCCAAACAGCCGGGAAATCCAGATGGAGTTTCTGCTCCAACCTGGTCCAGACCTGGCCTCGTGGTCATTTTGGAGTGTGAACAGCTGATGAAAGATTAGTCTGTCACTCTGCTCTCTCACTATCTCAGCCTTTCAAGTAAATAAAATCTTTTTTTTTTTAAAGCTGTCTTTCATTC